GGGGTGCCTGGGTGGCTCAGTCGTTAAGCGTCTGACATGTCTTTCTCTGATTGACTTATTTAAGCCTCAGAGCACCGGGAGCCATGAAAGGGTCTATACCCAAGCTCAGATCTGCATTTCCGGAAGATGACTGACAGCAGGGCGGAGGAGGGATTGCAGAGGAGGCAGCAAGCAGAGACCAGTTGAGACAGTAATGTCACTGTACAGGTGAGAGCAGGGAAGGGACAGGGGGAGGGGAGGGAGAGCCACAGGAGCTATTTAAATGATAGAATTTATAGAAGTAGGAGGGAATCCGACAGGAGTGGAATTTGATCCAGAAGGAAAGGAGAGAATGACTTTTAGGTTCAGGCTTGGGTAGAAGCAATGCCATTAACCACAACAGGGAAATGCAAGAGAAGTATTTGGTTTAGGAGAGACACTTTGTTCAGTTGGGGAATACTACACTTAAGATGCCTGTTCCAGCTATCATTGCCATGAAACCAACCATCTTAAAACTTAAGAGTTTATTTTATTTTTTTAAAGATTTTATTTTTTTGAGAGAGAGAGAGAGCATGAGAGAGAGAGAGGGTGCACAAGCAGGGGGAGGGGCAGAGGCAGAGGGAGAAGCAGGCTCCCCGCTGAGCAGGGAGCCCGACAAGGGGCTCAATCCCAGGACCCCGAGATTGTGACCCAAGCCAAAGGCAGACACCCAACCGACTGAGCCACCCAGGTGCCCCAAAACTTAATAGTTTAAAACAATAATTTATGCTTGTTGCTCATGGGTCTGTGAGTCAAGAGGGTTCAGCTGGGCAATTCTTGCTCGGAGTCTCTCAGATAATTACTGTCAGATGTTGGCTGGGCTGTAATCTTCTGAAGGCTCAGTTGGGCTGGTTGTCCAAAATGGCTCACTCCCATGGGCGGCGGCTGATGCTGGCTTTTGAATAGGAGTTCAGCGGGGCTTTTCCACCTACACATGGCCTCTCCATGTGACTTGAGCTTCTCACAGCAGGATAGCTGGCTTATAAGAGATAGAGTCCAAAGAAAAAGCATTTCTAGAGGCTTAAGCAGAAACTGCAAGGATTCTAATAACCTAGCTTTGGAAATCATTTAGTAGTTAGGAGTGGGTCTCAGCCCAGATTCAAGGAGTGGGGGCTTCCTCGGACTTGAAGACTGAGAAACATATCTCACTGGGGCCCATCTTTGAAGACTAACACAGTGCCTTTGGGACATGCAGTTAGAGAAGTTTAATAGGTATTTAAGTTATGGGTCTCGAGTTCAGAAAGAAATCTGGGCTGGGAATCTAGCTGAGAAGATAATTGGTATGTAGGCAGTGATGAAAACCATGGATGTAGGGGAGCCTGGGTGGCTCAGTCGGTTAAGCGTCTGCCTTCGGCTCAGATCATGATCCCAGGGTCCTGGGATCGAGCCCCGCATCGGGCTTCCTGCTCCGCGGGAAGCCTGCTTCTCCCTCTCCCGCTCCCCCTACTTGCGTTCCCTCTCTCACTGTGTCTCTCTCTGTCAAATAAATAAATAAAATCTTAAAAAAAAAAAGGAAAGAAAATCATGGATGTAGATGAGGTCTCCCAGGAGAATATGAATCACACAACGAAAATAACTCCAGGGGAAGAACCTTAAAACGCCAACATCTAAATGGTAAGCACTGGAACAATGAGCCCCTAACCAAGACCAAGAGCTACAGAAGCAGAGAAAACCATGAAATATACAAGCCAAACGCAACATGTCAAGAGTATCAGATGCTGCAGAGAGGCAAAGTCAGGTGGGACCTGAAAACTGTTCTCACCAGCTTTGACAATTAGGTGTTCATGGGTGACTTTAGTAGGAATAGTTTTAGGGAATAGGAAAAAGCAAAGAAAAAAATAAAACAGACTGAAGTGAAATAGACAATGGTAGCTGAGAGAGAGCAGGCAAGAAACTATCACGAGACACACAATGGAAGGAAGACTTGTATTTTAAGATGGTTAGGGCAAGGGCTCTGGGGTCGTATTGCCTATTTGCATGGATTTGCATATTGGCTCTCCCCGCTGTGTGATACTGATCGTTCTCCTAATTTAACCTCTCCAACCCTCACTTTTCTCCGAAGAAAGTGACATTTAAGCTGGCACTTGAAGGAGGACCAGGAATCAGCCAGGCAGCGGGTTGGGAGAATAAAGGTTTTGGCTGGGGTAACAGCAAGGATGTGAGTTTGGAACACACTTGGCTTGTGCAAGAAAAAGACTGGAGTGGGACGGGCTGGCAGGAGACGCAGGAGAGGCAGGGGGCGATGTGGTCCGTGGAGTAGCATGAGACTAGGGGAGGAGGAGACAGGAGTCTGATCTTTCTGGGCGTTATACTTGGTGCAGGGGGTGAGGGGAGGGAGGGACATGGGTTTTATTCTAAGTCCAAAGGGAAGTCATTAGAAAGTTATAAACAGATGAATTACATTATTTGACACATTTTAAAAAGATCACTCATGGGGGCGCCTGGGTGGCTCAGTCGGTTAAGTGTCTGCCTTCAGCTCAGGTCATGATCCCAGGAATTGAGTCCTGTGTCAGGCTCCCTGCCCAACAGAGGAGTCTGCTTCTCCCTCTCCCTCTCCCCCTGCTTGTGTGTGTGCAAAGGCCACCTATAATGCCCAAACTCAGCAAATGTAAATTTAGGAGTTAAATTTCATATTAAAACAAACCAAAAAACCCCACACAATTATTGAACTCTCATGAATTATATGTATGCTGAAGGCTTTTTACAGGGAAGGGTACTAATATCTGCAATTTCTTTGAAATACACCCAATTTAAGGTAGATTTGTGATGAACAGGGGGAGAGATTGATGGCCAGAAATATAGTAAAGCAAGTATATGTGTTTTGGGCTGAATTGTGTCATCTCAAAATTCACATGTGGAAGTCCTAACCCCCATTCCTGGGAATGGAACACTATTTGGTGATAGGAGGTTTCAGAGGTAATTAAGGTAATATGAGGTCATCTGGGTGGGTCCTAATCCAGTGAGTGGTCTCCTCACAGGAAGAAGAGATGAGGATACAGATAACACAGACCGAGGGACAACCATGTGAGGACACACGGAGAAAATGGCCGTTTGCAAGCCAAGGACATGAGCCTCAGAAGAAAACAAACCTGCTGACACCTTGATTTTGGACTTCTAGCCTCCCAAATTGTGAGAAAATAAATTTTTGTTGCTTGAGCTATCTGGTCTGTGGTATTTTGTTATGGCAGCCTTAGCAAACTAATACATATAAGGAAAATGTTAATGGCAGAAACTAGGTAATAGGTATGAATATTCACTACAAAATTACTTCAGCTTTGCTGCATATTTCAAAATTTGCATAGTAAAACATTGCGGGGGGGATCACTCTGATCTCTGTGTTTAATGGATTTAGGGAACTGTGGAAGGTGGGAGGAGGGGGTTACAGTGACTGAAGTGAAGAATGGCAGGAGCTTGTTCTAGGATGATGGTGAGAGTAGGCTTGGAGAGAAATGGGCAGATTCTACATTTACGTGAGAGATGGAAACAGCAGGACTCTCTGAGACACTGGATACAGAATATGAGTGAAATGACAAAATCAAAGATGACTGCTATGTATTTCTACAACTGTGTGGCCAGTCGTATTTACTAAGATGGAAAATATACGAGTCACGGGAGCAAATTCCAAGTCTTGTTTGGTCCTGTTATGTTTGAAATGCCCATGGGATACCCACCTGGCATGGTCAAGGAGTAAGTTAAATATAAAACGTAGAACTCAGACGATGCAAAGCATCTGAATGGCTTAGCACCAGGCCTGATACATAGTAAACATAATAAATGCTTAGTATTACCGCTAATTATTTTTGTAATTATAGGAGGTGTGACTAGAGGTAGATCTATTAACACTGAATATAGTATACTGGTATATTCTGCCTGAGAAAGGAGATAAGATTAAAAACATATGATTAGGGGGTGCCTGGGTGGCTCAGTCGTTAAGCGTCTGCCTTCGGCTCAGGTCATGGTCCCGGGGTCCTGGGATCGAGCCCTGCATCAGGCTCCCTGCTAGGCAGGAAGCCTGCTTCTCCCTCTCCCACTCCCCCTGCATGTGTTCCCTCTCTCTCTGTCTCTCTCTGTGTGTCAAATAAATAAATAAAATCTTGAAAAATAAAAATATATGATTAAATCTGAGATGCTATGTGAAATGGCTAATAGAAAGCCATTTGCACAAGCCCCTGCACCGAATAACATAGGGCTGAGTGAGCTCAGGTTGTCCTGTTATCTCATCCATCCTTCGGGCAACGTCACTTCCAAATCAACTCAGAGAAATGATAATTTATTCTCCATTAAATAATTCATCCTAATGTTTAATAACTACTAGAGTCACTTGGGTTTTTTTTCCCAATTTGAATTTGTCTAAATATAGCGAGAGCTCAAATTCTTGGCCCCAGAATGCAGCTTCTTAAAATCTTAATATATGGTATGATTTTGTTTCTGTTTATCTGATAGGTCAGAGTCCCTGGATGGACTTGCAGTGCAGTATCCTTAGATGCAAAAATGTAACACATTTTAGACATCTTTGTTAGAATTTTATATTCTTCATTAGATACGGCACACAGATAGCGCCCCTAGAATAACCATGTAGGCAGGAAAATTGGGGGGGCAATGAAAACCTGTCATCCATGTCATTATTTCTGCATTCAGCCTTTCGGGAGGAGGAGAAGTGTCACTCAGGGCATCTCTGCAATTGCCTGAGCTGCATCGGTGTCCCCGGCTGCCTGACATGATCCTGTCGAGCTTGCTGACACCCTCCTGTTTCCTCCCCCATCTATGCATCCCTACTCTCTTCTCGGTGGAAACAGACCTGGTATTTGTTCCAACTGAATGGTAAATAGTAGCATGCACAATTTTGATGGGGTTTCCCTTTTTGAAAGAACAGCTACCAGCTGCCTTGGGTGCTCGACAATGTGCTAGACACCACGCTCAGTGTCATTTCATTCACCCTTCGTAGCAAAGGTCCTCCGAGGTGGTATCTATTGTTACTTCATCTTACAGATGAGGCAGCTTATACTCTAGGAGTTTAAGTAAGCTGCTCCACTCGTAAGTGAGGGAACTGGGGTTCAAAATGAAGTCAGACAGCCAACAGAGAAAAATCTAACTGCTGTATGTATCCTCAGCATCACTGATGAGCATGCCCTCAGGAGGCCAGAGGCTTAGCAGGGTGGGCTGATTCCCCTGACTCCTCAGCGGCCATGAAGCTCCCAGCTTTCTGTTCTGCCTCTGAGGGAAGAGCTGAATGATCAGCTCCTTTTCTGTATGAATCTGAAGGCTTCCCCAGCAAGGCCTCCTACATGGGCCCTCAGACCCTCTCAACTCCCCCCTCACGCCTGTAGTGTTTTTCCAGGGCATAAACCTTCCCATCTCCTAGTGAAGATGAATCCATCTGGATTAGATTTAGCTACTGGAGATGGGGCGGAAAAGGAGAAAGAGCAGCTAGCTATAAAAGGCCATAGAAAGACCAAGAAACTATTCAGGAATAAGTAGGTAGGCTCTGAAGTCAAACTTCACCTACCAAGCTGCTGATTGCCAATCGGCCCATTCTAAAAAGAATGAAAGGCTAACGTTCACCTGCCCCCAGTCTATTCTTGCCACTCTGGAGCCCACACATCCAGCGTATGGGACTTCACACAGCACTAAAACCAAGCTCCCACCTTGCTTCTTGCCCCTCTTGCATTATGTGCATTTATATTTTAAAAAGCTGATCATTTGGAGAAAGGAGTTCATTTCTCAACAAAATCTACAGCTGGTATAAATCAAAATTTCCATAAGGCTTTCACTCCATGTTGCTTTGCTGGGCACCAAGAAAGCATCTCTGCTTGATCTGGAGAATGGTGATCACCGGTGAGCTACTCTGCACCACTGGCCTCATTCAGACCATCTCTAAGGTGTCCCATGGGGGCCTAAGCTGTTTAGTAGAGGCTTCAGGAATGGGCTGGAGAATAATAGTAAAAAGATTTGCCTGGGAGTGCTGGGGTAATTCTATTACTTAAGTCACAAAGTCAAGTTAATTCCAATGAAATATTTATGAGGTTTATTTACTATCTATCTTCCACATTAGACTAGGGCTGGATTAAGAGGCAACCCAGCCAGCCAAACATCAATCTAAAAGGGGAGCCAAAACCACGTACTGCTAAAACCTGGCCGGGATGTCATAAGAAGGAAGCAGTGTGTATTGACCTCATCACTTTTAGAGCACTAAATATGAACGGAAGAAGCACTAAATGCCTCCCAGCGAGAAGGAAAAATATCAAAGGAACAAGTTAAACTGCATTCTAAGGAGCTGGAAGGAATTAGCCCCAGGGCTTTTGCTTTGCTGGATGAGACTTACAGATTTGAGGGCAGCTAAATTGCTCTGGACCAGAGAGAAGAGGCAGAGAGCACTCCCTCTAAGAAGCACTCCGATCCCTCCCTCTTAGTTCAAGGGATGCCAAATAATTCCCTTGGCCAGGGTAGCCACCCGTCTTGGTGTGCCTCTGGCTGGAGGGAGAGCTCCGTGTAGACAGGGCTACCGCTGTTCTGTTCAGGACTGTCCACTCAGCATCTAGCTCTGTGCCTGCCAGAGTGTGCAGCCTAGGGGCATGCCATGGCTCTGCTCTAGGGGGAGCCATTCGCAGATTGTGGGGTCAGTGTATCAGCCTCCCAGGCAGTGCACTACCATTTGGGCTGCATACAGAGACCCCAAGATTTGTAGGTTGGCCTACTGAATGAGGAAATAACATGTAGACAGAGAAGGATTAACTTTTTTCCCCCAGCCTTTTCTCCCCACATCCGTGTCATTGCCTTCATTTAGTCTTATGCCTTCCTCCGTTGACTTGAGCAGGGCAGGAGAGCTTTCGGCCTCTAACCATCCTGTGCTAATTCATTCCCCTTATTTGGCATGAGTCAGCTCTCTGTAACAACACCAGATCATGCCACTTCCGTTCTTAAAAGCCTCCGATGGCTTCTCATTGCCAGCAGAAAGGATAGACTTCTTAGTGTGGAAATAAGAGCCTCTATGATTAGTCCCAAATTGACTTGTCCAGAATCATCTCTCACTACTCCCTGCTTTTTATGCTCTGTGCTCCAGCCATGCCCAGTGTCAAATTCACTACATGCCTTCTCACTTGGGGCCACTGCCCATTCCATACCTGCTCCCAGGGCTCACCTTTTTTCCCCTTTTCAGTATTGGCATGGGTTTTCCACATTGAATATATCTTTAAAAACAAATATTTTTGTCATATTATATATTTTTAAAAGATTTTATTTATTTATTTATTTATTTATTTATTTATTTATTTGAGACACACACACACACACACACACACACACACACGGGGGTAGGGAGAGGGAGAGAATCTCAAGCAGACTCCACACTGAGCATGGAGCCCAACCAGGGGTTTGATCCCACGACCCTGAGATCATGACCGGAGCCAAAACCAAGAGTCGGATGCTCAATCAACTGAGCCACCCAGGTGCCTCTGTCAAATTATATTTTTTTTTACAAATTTTTAATTTTAGAATAGTTTCGCATTTACGGAAAAGCTGCAAAGAGGGTACAGAGAGTTCCCATAGATCACACACCCAGTTTTTCTTATTATTAACATCTCATGCTGGCCCTGGTGCACTCGTCATAACTAATCAATCAATAGTGATACCTTATTATTAACCGAAGCCCATACTTTATTCAGTGTCTGAACCAAAGCTCATACTTTATTTCCTTAGTTCTTATTTGATTTTTCTTTTGCAGGATCCTACCCAGGATATCACATTACATTTAATTTTGATGTGTCCTGAGGCTTCTCTTGGTTATGGCGGTTTCATAAACTTCCCTTGTTTTTTGATGGCCCTGACTCTTTGGAGGACTACTGGTCAGATATTTTGTAGGATGCCCATCTACTAGAATTTGCCCGGTGGTTTTTTTCCTGATTACACTGGGGTTATAGGTTTTGGGGAAGAAGACCACAAAGTGCCATTCTCGTCACATGATATCAAGGATAAATGCTATCAACAAGTCTTACCGCTATTAATGTCAACCTTGATCACCTGGCTGGGGTGGAGTTTCCCAGGTGTCTCTTCTGTAAAGTTACTCCCCATACCCTTTTCCATACTGTATTCTTCGGAAGGAAGTCACCAAATGCAGCTCATA